TAAGTAAAATAAATCAGACAAATACGTTTAAATATTTCATTGTTTCTCTTATATGAGAAACCAAAAACATAAATAAAGAACAAAATAAAAGATAGGAAACAGGGAGAGAGGACTTTTGCAAAATGGAGAGGAACCACGAGGTAGAGGAACCAAGAGATAAAGGGCAGGAGGAAGGAAAGGGGAAGGGGATGAAAAAACAATTAAAATGTACTGTGGACAGGTAGGAGCTCCCCATGATGGATACACTCATTCTGCACTGCAAATATGGACAAATAAAAAATTAAAACTGAAAAAAGTCCAGTTATAATCTTTCTCTAAATCTTTCTCTAAAATGTTCTCTTTGAAACTAACGAAGGTTTAGTCCACAAAAAAGTAAATGAGAGGATTACTTTATAGGAGGAATACATATTAATTGCTAAGAACAAAATAAATTAAAAAAATTGCCACTTCTTGATCCAACTTGTCTAGTATTTAAGCTCTTTAACATCAAATTCAACTAAGACAATAAATGAGATAACGTGATTATTAGGAATCCTACTTAATAATTTTTTTATTTTAAAAATAAAAGGAGGAAAACATTAACAGACAGACAACCTTTTACAAAATAGCAAAAGAACAGTACAGACAATACAGAGTTACAGAGTGGTAGGAAATTGACAATGCTTGTTGTATTACATATTGATATCTTCAAAGTGGTTTCTCATGAAAACAGATAGAGACATGCAATATTGATCAATCCAGGACTCATTGACAGTTTCTTTCAGCAAAGAAATAGAAGACAGTAGAACAACTATGTTAACTATCCTGTATATACATACATACAAAATTTCTCCCTCTTTCCCTCCTGTTTTCCCCCATCCCAGTTTCCCTTTACTATTAATTATTATTAATGATTTGTCCATAGGGGATTCCCAGTTAAAATGGTTGATTATCCTTGTCCTAGTTACTTTTTCATTGCTGGGACAAAATACCCAACACCCACAAGTTACTGGAAGAAAGGCTTATTTTTGCTCACTGTAGAGGTTTCAGTCCATAGTCAGCTGGGTACAGGCAGGATGGCATGGCAGAGGGGAAACAGTCCATGGTATGGCAGGTAGGAAGCAGCACAGCATGAAAAGAGAAGGAAGGATGGATGTACAGTACACACACACACACACACACACACACACACACACACACACACGCACAAGCCCTTCTGGGTCATGCCCACAGTGGCCCACCAATTCCCAGCAGGATTCACCTCCCAACACCACACCCAGCTATACAACCATCAGTGGACTAAGTCTTTATCACCCACCCCTGATCAAGTCACTCCAAAAGTCCCACCTGTAAGCCCATGAGCCTTTGGGGTAACATCTAAATATAAGCCATAATAATCTTCATCTTTTACAGGAATAAGAACAGACAGAACTAGTTGCTTAGTAGGATTGTTGTGATGATTAAATGAGATTCTATTTGTATTTACTCACTGGCAGTCAGAATAAGAATTCAGTAGATATTGGTTATCACCACTATCATCATCATAAGGCCTCTTGTTAAAATTTGTCATAGATTTCATAAGTGTCTACGGAAAATGATTCAGGTTTTTTTTGTTGTTGTTGTTGTTCTGGGCTTGAACTTAAAGCCTTGTGCATGGTAAGAATTTCCTCTACCACTGAACTACAATTCAGCCCATGATTCAGCACCACCATGATAAAACCTTCATGATCTATTTTCCTAGCTTTTCCACATTCTTGTCTTGCACCAGCCACAGTACACTGCTCCTACTTAGAATGCCCTTTCAGTCTTCTTCATCTGACTCCCACTGGTTTTCCATCTCATAGGCATCACTTCTTTTAAGAAATCTCCAGGAAGCAAGCTGAGAAAGGTGACAAGGGCAAAGAGAGACAGCATGCATAAAGATCCTAAGGACAGAAAGAGCCTGCATTGTTTATGGAATTGAAGGCCAGGAAAGCAACATAAGGAGCAAAGAAGTGGAGGACACTCAGTAAAAGTGAAGAGATAGACAAGAACTAATTTATGAAGGATTACAGAGGATGCACAATCAGGAGTTTAGATTGCAGTCTAAAGATAATGGAAAGCCTTTGGAAGGTTATAAGCCAGGGCCTAATCGAGTTACATTCTGGCTTTGTTTTGTTTTTGTGGTCCTGGCCATAGAACCCAGGGCCTCATGCCTGCTAGGCAAATGACCTGCTACTGAGATACAGCCACTTTACACTTTTTAAATGAGTACTCTGGCTACCATGTAGAAGATGGAAACACGGAAGAAAGAGAAGACAAAGTGACCACAAAGGCTCACTATGATGGTTCAGAATGAGCTAGTAGTAGGGCTGGCCACAGAGATGCAAAGAGTTAGGCAACCTGCAGGAATATTTTACAAGTGGAACTCTAACAAAATGTGCTGATGGATTCAATAGAGAGATAAGGGACAAGATGAAAACAAGATTTCAGGATGTTTTACTGTCTCAGTTTCCCATTGTTGCTGGGATGAAATGTCCAACACCTGCAATTTAAAGGAGGAGAAGTTCATTTTGGCTCACAGCTTTAGTTGGTTTATTTACTGGCTGACTGGCTCCAAGGCAGAAATGGTATGTTGAAGGACCTGGCAGAGGAAAATTGCTCACCTCATTGTGCCTAGGAAGCAGAGAGACAAGAGAGGAGCCAGGACAAGAACGTACCTCTCCAGGTCACAGCCCCAGTGATCTCCCTCTAACCAGGCCCCACCTCCAAACAGTAAGTCAGCTATGAATCCATCAGTGCCTCCCTCCATGAGCCAATCACCTTCCAAACACACGAGGTTTTGGGGGAACATTGTAACTCTAAACCGTAACACAGGCTCAAGCTATGTACTGACATGAGAAATAATGGAGCAGAAAAAGACTTAGGGATCGGAATCAAAAGCTTTGTTTTGGACATAGTAACTTTGAGCTGCTAAAGGGTATCTAAGAATCGATGTCGAGTTAAATAGAAGTTGTTAGGAGACTTGAATTAAATAAGCAAATCTGGTAGTAAGCAGCATATTGAGAACACTTAAAACGATGGGAGTAAATGAAATTACCTAGGAAGATGGCATTGTAAGAGAAGAGCAGGTAATTTAGTTCCAAAACTCAAAGAAATCTTTTTGGTTTTTAAGAAAACAATAGAAAGGAAAAACAGCAAAAGAGACTGTGGAGTGGTCAGAAAATGTAGTATTTCAAGAAGCAAGAAGTATCCCAGAGTCCAGTGCTTCTGGGATGAGGACAGACAAGAATAGGGTATGGCTTTTGGTATGGACAATGTCTTGGTTTATACTGTATCTAGATGTCCCCCCGAAGTCTCACGAGATCATAGGCAGGACCTCTGGGAGATGATCAGGCTATATGTGCACTATAACTCACTTGCTGTTAGAACGTGGGGTCTGGTCCCAAAAGGCAGGTCACTGTGGGCATGACCTGGAAGGTTCTGGGTTTCTCCCTTCAATTTCTCTGCTTCCTGAATGCCACGAAGTGAGCAACCTTTCCTCCAGCAGGCCCCTATGCCATGCCATTCTCTCTGGAGCCAGCAGTCCACGGACTGAAACATGAGCTAAAATAAACCTCTCAAGTTTCAGTTGTCAGGTATTTTGTCCTAGGACTAAGGAAAGTAACTAAGGCAACACAGAAGTAGTTTATGCCTTGAAAAGAGCAGTTTTAATAGCACGACTGGGGAAAAAGTCAGAATAAACAGAAAATAGAATGGGAGATGAGAGGTGGCAGTGTTCATCTTTAGGTTAAACGGTATGACAACGGCTGATTGCAGTCTTGTTTTGTTGTCAGGTGCTGGAGGCTGAACCCAGGGCTTCACCCATGCTAGGCAAATACTGTACCACTGAGCTGTGTCTCTGGTCCCTGGAGAATTTCTGATGTACAAAACTAGTAATTTCATGATTTTTAAATGAATGTTTGATGGAAGAAAAATGAAAACCTGTCACAGGATTTACAAAGGAATATGAGATTAAACAAAGCCATAAAGAAGGTGGCACGTTTTAGGTGGAAGGATGAGACCACCTTTGTAACCTGCTCAAAATGAGGAAGCCATCAGCTCAAAGAAAGGTGGAAGACATCATTTTCCTAGACTTGTTTTTCATTTCCTTGCACTTCTTGAGCACTTTCATTACATATACCTCTAAGCAATGTAGTGTTCTAACAGCTTTTGAACTGTGTAAGTTGTCATACTCTGTATTTCTACATCGTCTTTTGCCTCATCCTGTTTGTCTTGTTTTGCTAGCACATATTATTCTGTTTACAACAGTTTACAACGCATAATGTATTTATTCTCTTAAAGAGATTCATCTCTTACAGATGACTGTTTCTAATTTTTTGCTTCTACCCACTGTGCTACTATGTACATCTTTGTCCACATATGAAAGCTCCTATAGGGCATATACAGATAAGAGTGGAACGCTGGCGTTTAGTGTTTTAAAATCTTAGGTTTACTAGATTTTCCCAAACTTGCTTCCCAAGGTGGTATTAATCTCCAGCAGGTGCGTTTAAATGCACAGAGAGTACTCTACTGAAAGCCAAACTACACAGTGTTTCTGCTTAATTATAATTAATTTTTTGTGCCCACGTCATCATTTTTGCAAACAAGTTAGCAGAATCAACCAGCAACTTCGAACAGTCCAAAAAAACCGACGCCGCGGACGCCCGCACAGCCTACCGCCGAGGACGCAGAGACTCACTTCCGGCGTGGACGTGACGCAGCAGCGACGTCGGCACGCTGTCGACGTCAGCGTCCTATTGACGCCCTTTAAGGCCCCTTTCCGGGCTGTTTGACACAGTCCAACTGTCAAAATCCAACTTTCGTTGCCCGATTCTGTTTTGATTGCCACAGAGGCTAGCACGGTATCCTAGTAGAGTCCCTTTGTCCCGAGGGGCGGCTCTCTTGCCTAGAAGAGCTAATTCCGGTTGGCGCTTCCTTCAGGCAGCGCCGCGGGCAGCCCTTGGGCCCTTGTAAGGCGCGAGCTACGGCCCCGCCTCTTTCCTTTCGGCCGGAACCGCCATCTTCCAGGTAGGGCGTCCGCGTGGCTCCTGGCTCCTGGTGTTTTACAGACTCTGGTTACCCGCTTATGTGCGCTGATTCTGTGCGTCAGAACCCCAGGGAGACCGGTTAGCCCGACTGGGGTCTGCCGGCGGGGCGGAACGTAACGTGTCCTGCCAGATTGGAGCGTCGTACGCTCTGCGACGAGGCCCGGGACGGACGGCCGGACCCGCAGCCGCTGCTGTGCCCGGGCGGGTCTCGAGGAGGACGGAGCCATCTCCTGCGGGCGAGCGGGCTAGGGCTGGCCCGGCGGAGACGCGGGGCCTGCCTCGTCACCCCAGCCCCGGCGTCCCGGGCCTCCGTGTCCGCGTGGATCGCGTGGTCCGAGCCGACCAGTGCGCGTCCTTCCCCCCGGTCCTTGCGCGCGTGCGGCTGTTGAGTAGGGACTCGGGGTTGAGTAGCGGCTCGGGGTTTAGAACCTTCTGTCGGTGACTGTCTCCGGCGAGCCCTGGATGTGGCTCAAAGCCTGGACTCGCGGCCGGAGAACGAGGTGGACAGCCGCGGTCAGCCCGGGCACTGCGCCCCGGACCCTTACTAGTTCATTTCACGGGGTGCTTTCCAACCTCTGAAATTGTGGGGCGCCGATGGCGCTCAGAGGAAGAGAAGGTAATTTTAAATCATCCACACGAACATTTACGCCAAGAAAGAAAGGTGTTTGGTCTAATTCTGCGCAGCATGTATTAAAGATTCCAAAACAGCGAAGGGATTCCGAAAATCTGTGTGTCTGGTTTATATGTTTTAGGGTGAAAGTTATTTAGTACCTGCTTCATAGAAACTTTTATGAGTCTGGTTAGGATATTAACAGCCAAAAGCCAGCTACCAAGAGTTGAGGGAACCTGGATTCAACTTATAGGGTGGATCCCAGTTGGTGTGGTGGTTTTTTCCCTTTTGTAGACTAACAGTTAATGGTTTGCACGTTGAACATTGTGTTGGAAAATTCGTTTCATGTGTGTTGCCCTAAATGAATGTTTCACTCTCAAAATGGGCTCTGGCATCAGAAATTAAGTACTCATTTTGCTGCTTCGGAGCTCCACAACGTGACTTGTATCTGTGTAGCATCACTCTATAAATTTCATACAGATTGGGATTTTGAGGGTTAGAAAGGTTATGTAGGTTATGCCCTGTTGCCCTAAAAGTAAAGGATGCATCCATCATCCCTTGAAACAAAGGTTTGACTTCGGTGGGTTAGGTGTAACATTGTGTCTCCCAGGCATTTTCTTTAAGATTAAGAAGCTTTTATAAATTGAGAGGCTGTTATTGTTCAGAACACTGTCAGTAAGATAAGGGTGACTGTAACGTTTTGCCTTATTATAACAGTAATCGCCAGGACAGCACTTCCGCCCACAAAACCATTGCTTCAGTCTTGAGAAACAAAGGAAAGGTTAAACTCGGAAATGTCTGTCGGTGAAACTATGGGATGTTAATGTATGAGTTTCTAAACTAAACCCTAAATATTCTGGCTCAATTGCAGTGTTGGCACCTTGCGATGAATAAGTAGGTTTTGGGTTGCAGTCGGGTGCTCAATGTTTCTTCAGGTTCATCATCACTGCTGTGGATGGTAAATTGTTAGGTAATGACAATAAATAACCATTTATCCTTGGGAGGTAGAGGCAGGAGTTGTTCCGGGCCAACCTGAACTACATAGACCCTGTGTGACAGAAAGGTAACCATTTATAGAACAGTCTGCCAAAAATTACTGAGTACTCTATATAGGTGTTTCCTTTGTAAAAGAAAAGTGCCAGCCCCGCCACAGACAGAGATGTGAGCTTAAAGGTAGATCTCCCAGGAAGTCAGTGGCACCCTTTCTACCTTGTGTGTGTGTGTGTGTGTGTATCATAGTAAACAAAAATGAAATTTGAAGCGAATTGAGACGTCGGTTAAAGAGGTGGTACATGAAGTACAGTTGAAGAAAACTAGGTTGATAAGAAAAAGGGCTTTATTCACCCCCATGAAAATAGAAGGCTTGAGTTATTTTCTCCCCCAGTAGTAAGTTATCTATCTAGTTACGTATTTTGAAGTCTGGCATTCTTGACTGGCTTTTACAGATATGTGTGATAGAAGTCCTGGTATATTTTTACATTCTGTTACGGAAAGTATACTGGTTTGAATTCTAATACCTAGCTGTGCTTAGGAGTTTTAATGTTATATAACTTGGGCTGTTTTGGCAAAGACTACTTGCTAAAATGACAGTGTATTTACAAATTATCACTGAAATACCACCGCGTAAACTGTAAGTCTGTTTTTCGGAGGGGTTAAAGGGGCAAACGCCAACGAATTTGTTATTTACTGCTTTTGTGCTTTGTGCTTTCAGTAATTTGCCAAGATGACGAACACAAAGGGAAAGCGGAGGGGAACCAGGTATATGTTCTCCAGGCCTTTCAGAAAACATGGTAAGTAAATTGACCCTCCTTGAAGGAAAGCATGGCGTGCATGTTTTTTCTTTTTTAGATGTATATGGCCCATATAATGCTTATTGGTAACATTAAATAACCAGAACATACCTGAATTATTTTGTAATAAGTGTAGGATTAAAACCTTGAAGATGAGTTGTAGACTGGCTTTGCTTTCGGGAGAAATTGTCTATTGGTAAGATTTTAAAATTTCTAAAACTGACAAAGTGTGTGCGCCTGGCTTGGTATGTGCCTGTAACCCTAATAACGCAAGAGTGTAGGGGAAGAGAATCTCAAGTTTAAAAAAAGCAAGCTAGGACAACTTAGTGACCCTTTCCTCAAAAATTATAATGTAGATCTGTGCTTCCTGGGTTCATTCTCTAGTGCTGTAGTATAAAGAAAAAGTGTGTTCAAATTTAGTGTTTAAACTGTTTAAAAAAAAAAAAAACAATGCATATTTAATGTTGAAAAAAAAGTCTTCGTGGATTTTATTTTTAAAAATTAAAAAAAATTTTTTTTCCAGGAGTTGTTCCTTTGGCCACTTATATGCGAATCTACAAAAAGGGTGATATTGTAGACATCAAGGTAAATTATAAAATTGAAGAACTGTTGGAGTTAGAAAATGGATTTAATCCAGTAGGAAGTCAAATGACTGTAATTGTAGCACTCTGGGAGGCTAAGGCAGGAAAATTTAAAGTTTGAGCAAATTAGGCTCTGTCCAAAGTAAAATGGGCTGGGGATATAAAATGTAGCTCAGTGTAAAGGCCCTGGGTTCAATCCCCCGGGCTGCATAAAGAAGTTCATAAGACTTAAAAATTGCTGTTTTAAAGTTCTATTTTGGGGGCTCAGTGGCACAGCAGCCGCCTGGCAAGCGCAAGGTCCTGAGTTCAATTCCCGGTACCAAAAAAACCTATTTTGTTTCTGTTTTTTGAGAGTCTTGCTGTGTAGTTCAAGGTCTCACTAGCCTCAGACTCCCGAGTGCTGGGATTATAGGTGTGCAAAAATTCTGTTCTTAATGGGTCTAATTTTTTTTCATTACCTGCTAAAAAAGTTAACTAATGGAAAATTTTGGGGGGCGGTGTTCATCAGTTGATCATCACAAAAAAGAATACTTTGGTGTAAAATTCTTGGTAGAGTTGGAGAGTGCTGCCCTTATGAATGCCCCTGTGAAAGCATAGTCCAGAGCTTAATGATGATTGTCTTTGCGATTGCTTGAAGCAATATGAAAAACACATTTCACCGGCTCTGAAAGCTCTGGAGTTCTATTAAAGGAAATTTTAAAGTATCTTAGACATGCTAATAGAAGGAAGCAGGAATTGCTGAAGTGAAGTTGTCTCTGTCCTTAACCAGGGAATGGGTACTGTGCAAAAAGGAATGCCACACAAGTGTTACCATGGCAAAACAGGAAGAGTCTACAATGTTACCCAGCATGCTGTTGGCATTGTTGTAAACAAGCAAGTGAAG